AATTTTCCTTTCTTCTCAATATCTACTCTGTGTTTGACTGTTTGTATAGCCATACTGATATTATGCATCATTTTAGTTTAATTCTTCTGACCATTTTAAAGATCCAAATTATGATACTCAATATGTAACTAATCATGGCAATTAAATTATGAAGGCATACCGTGAATCAACCGGGACAGTATCATCAGGCGATGAGCACATCAAGGATCCGGTCGCTGAAGCTGAGGAGATTGCTTTTTGCCGAGCATGTGCTCGGTTTGGACTTGGCTTATATCTTTATCATGACGAGTAGCTGCTACAGAAATGACAATTTTGATAAGATGGATGAAGCAGTTTTATCTGCGTTCATAAGATATTTTAGTCTGGTATAAATAACCTTTAAAGCCGTCTGTATCACCACATTATACTACATATTCCACTATGACTTTTCATGTGTTCTTGCTACTGGTTTATGTGCTGGAATTCTACCAGTTTTGCTAATTCTCACTTCCCATCATTTTCCCCTTATTGTTTTTTCGCTTTGCTAGTTTCTATTCATTTTACCATTGATATACTAGGGAAATTTTATAATCCCATGGGACACGGAACTCGTATTAGATCACATGAATTAAAAAGTATACTACAATACCTCCAGTCTCCAGAGGGTGGGTGTTGCATTTATACATATTATGTAGTTCAGTTGTGCTAACTGCTAATTGTGCATTTTGTAGTGTAAACCTCAAAATTGGATGCTTGATTACATTGTGTAGTGTTAATGGTATTCATTAGTATTTAAATAGCATACATGAATGTTTTGGTACAGAAATTATTGAGACAATAATGCACTGTCAGACCACGAGATGTCCGTGGTCGGCCCAATTAAGGAGCAAAGTGCTTGTCAGATGATGAGTTTTTCTAATGAGAAGAGGTTCGAACTCTCGACCTCTCTTAAAGAATGAAAGTGCACAATTACTCACGCCAACTAAACTGATTTAGGAAGAGTCAATTAGCACCTTGTAATTACTAATTTGGCTGGAATTGTTTCCATATTTTTCATTTTTGGTTGCGTGGAACCATTTCTAACTTGACCAGGCGAGTCAAAACTCGTAGTAAAGCATCAATTGCTAAACACAAAACCCCAAAGCAAAACTGCAAAACCCTAAACGCGACTGGATAATCTAACGACGGCGAGAGGCGCTAGTTCACCGCAGAATATGTGTAGTAAGAGTGTATCACCGTCATCGGCTCCGACGCCAATGTTGAGGGTTGCAGAGATAGAAGGGAAGGGCAGGTCACTTGTCGCCTCGGCGGCGTTAAGAGCCGGGGAGATCGTCCTCCGAGACTCCCCTCTTCTTCTCTACTCTGCCTTCCATTTCTTCCCTACCTCAGAGCCGCCTCATCTTCAGTACAACAACGTTTACTGCTCCAATTGCTTCAGATTGATCATCTCTCAGCCTCCGCCGTCGTCTTGCCCGGCTTGCTCCGACGCCTTCTGCAGCTCCGGCTGCCGATCTGTCGCCTTATCTTCTTCCCACTCCCCTTGGGTCTGCCAGGCCCTGCGTCGCCTCCGGGACGCCTCTTATTCTCCCCTCGTTGCCGAAACCCTAGACCGCCAAGTCATGGCTCGTTTTCTCGTCGCCGCCTACAACCTCGCCGCCCTATCTCCTCCTGATTTTCGCATTCTCTTGTCTCTTCAAGGAGATCCGTCGGCCGTTTCCAGGGACGATGCGGCTTTCCTGCATTCTCTCGTTTCTTCTCTCTGCCCGCCGACAGCTCCGGAGTTTGGATTGTCTGTTGAGCTAACCGCCTCTCTGCTAGCTAAAGACAAGCTCAACGGATTTGGCTTAATGGAGCCTTTCCATCCTGACAAGGATAGGTCTGTGAGGGCGTACGGTATCTACCCTAGAGCCTCCTTTTTCAACCACGATTGCCTTCCTAATGCCTGCAGGTTTGATTATGTTGATGCCGATGCCAACTCCCGCACCAACACTGACTTCATAGTCAGGGTCCTCCATGATGTTCCAGAGGGCCGGGAAATCTGCTTGAGTTACTTCCCGGTTAACCTTAAGTATTCCGAGAGGCAGCACAGGTTGAAGGAGGACTATGGCTTTGCCTGTGATTGTGACCGGTGCAAGGTGGAGGCTAATTGGGATGATGATGAAGGAGAGCAGGAAGGAGAGATGTCAGGGAGTGATAGTGCAATGAGTGGAGGCGAGGAGGAGGAAGCTATGGAGGAGGATGGAGACCAAGAAATGGAGGCCGATACCGGGGAGTTTCCTCATGCCTATTTTTTCCTTAGATTCATGTGTAGTAGAGATAATTGCTGGGGCACATTGGCTCCCCTGCCCCCTTCTAATGCATCTCCATCTACATTAATGGAGTGCAATGTTTGTGGCAATGTGAACAGCATTGAAGAGCCAATGGATGATGGCTCTGGGAACCAATGAGACCTGCTAGTAATTCATTCTCCTTTGTTTGCCTTCATCTCTTGATGGCAACATGAATTTTGACTTCAGTGTCATGTGCAGCTGATTAAAGTTTTGAACTTTTGCTGTTGTTATTGTGTGAGCCAAAGCCAAAAAAAAATCTGATAAGATGCATTTGTGTATTGTTCTGAGTTCACTTTCAGCAATTTAGTTTGCTTTTGTGCATTATCCTCAAAATGATGATGATAGTAAGTGTTCTGGGAACTACGTGACCTGACTGACCTCCTATGCTGACTTCAAAGTGTAAGTTTTTGCACCAACTCCAACCCAGTTGGTCAAGGGTGTTGGCCTATTGGTCTTCTTGGTTTGTATTGGTTAGCTATGGACAACTTAAGCCGATTTACCTTCTTGTGGTCGTAGGTTTTTCTCGTCATTAAAAAAAAAAGTGTATGTTCTTGAATAGATGTGCCTGACTGATTGGAATGGCTCCTACTAAACAATATGAGAATGATCTTTGAAGGGTTTATGTGTGGTTTGAAACAAGAAAGAACCCAAAATCCCACGGGCTTAGCTCAATTAGTATCTGTTCATAAATTACTACTTAATTTCTCACCCTAATGAAGCACAAAGGTCAATATACTACCTCCATTAGTAGGCTTGAACCCACGACCTCCATGTGGGAATTCAACCTTTGGTGCCATTAGACCACAAAGTCTTGATGCTAACTTTCTAACTTAGTAAAGGTGAAATTATCTCTTTTCATAACTATATATTTTTGATGACCTATTAATTAACTTATATAAGATGGAAAAACAACATTATGTGTACAAAATAAGTTCGTAAATTATTTATTTATTTATTTATTGTTTTTTTTTAATTTTACATATTATAGGGATATTTATATTTTGAAATGAAACTATTTCAATGCAACCTTTTTCCAAGAATGTGGACTGCATGCATCATTTTCCAACTGCTATTTCCTCCTCGTTTACTCCATGCCAACTTGGGCAAATTGGTTTCAAGAGGTGGAAATCAAAAGTCAACAAATGAGCCAACACATCCTACAACACTAATAAGATGAATATCCTGACTTTTCAACACATTCCACACATTTATTGGATTGTTAGGTGCTCATATATATATATATATATACCCTAGATAAGTTTATTTTTTAAATATCTACTTTTCATATATTATCTAAAAAGTAACTTATTAAAAATAAACATTTAACATACTAAAAATGAAAATTTATTAACTTTTCATTTATTTAATTCTTTCTATGCATCTAATAATATGAGTTCGCCATTCAACTGGGAAGCTTCGAGGGTGTCACCCCTTTTATGACACTCTCTTCCTGCGCAAGCTGTCGATCCCCTGGACCTTTTTGAGGGGAAGGGTTTGCGCTGAGGAAATGGGCGAGAACGAGCACTAACTAGCAGACCGCTATGTCGCTTCCTGTAACAGTATGGCGAGTAATCAAAGACTTGGAGAATCAACGGGATCAGTCGGCTAGAGAGCAGGGCTATTCTTCTTCCAGGGAGAAAAAGTCATCCCTTCTACCGACCGAACCCTAAGTTCGGGGGTCTTCATCAACATGTTACGAAACTCCAGTCCTCGGTGGATCACTATTACTTGACTTACATCATCTGGCATCAACAGAATATTAGCTTGGTCCCGACCTCGAGGCTCGGACCTGTATTCCGAACGGAAACACTTCTTATTGTAGAGGACAAACACTATTAACTTACCTATTCCATGGGACAAATTTTACTGTAGATCATGGTCTATGTAACCGCGCCAACAATTATGTCATGGACCCGAGTTCACCTTGCAAGATGGACCCGAGTCAAAATACAAAATTTATATATCATGGTCTCTGTAACCGCGCCAACAATTATGTCATGGACCCGAGTTCACCTTGCAAGATGGACCCGAGTCAAAATACAAAATTTATATATCATGGTCTCTGTAACCGCGTCAACAATTTATCCGTTTTGAGGGTACAATATATCAATCTCTTTGTCTCACTACAATGAATCCGAATCCACTTTGACCTGACAAATTGGAAGTGGACTCCATTGATAATTGTACCACAAAATAGCCCTTTAATATGCCATTTTAAACTATTTTTTCCAACAAAAACTTATTTTTCAAAACTAAGTGCACCTAACGTTATCACTTGGTGCACCTATAGTTATAAGTAGGTGCACCTAGGTGCATGAATGTTAACAGAGTAAAATTATATGCACTTGTAAGTGAAAGTAGGTGCATTTGTAAGTGAGTTTACATGTACTTTTTACTTGCAAAGGTACACAAACTAGTTGCACTTAAAACACATTTACATGCACCAAAGTTTGAGTTATTTACGAAAATGCTATTGCGTCATTTTTTTAAAATTCCATCTAATTCGTTGATTTGGACACATCACACATAGATGATATTGGATGATTCTTAGTTCTCTCCTGACGACAGTTCGTACCTGAATGCGATTATATATAAATATATATTTGGTGTCTAAAAAAAACAATCATAATACCTACCCAAAACCAAACAAAATATGAAGGCACGAAAAACATCTTTAACTAAATTCCAAAGCCTCCACCTTGTTGAATCGGATTCACCACATGCACACACTTCATTTACGTGTACAATATCGCCACCACTTCATTCCGCCCCTTCCTTCTCATTTCCACCATTACAATTTACAAAATCCCCCAAAATATTGCCATCTTAAACACACCTCTCTCTCGCTCTCTTCTCCATCTTCACACAATCCAATTCTTTCTTTCAGACCTCTGTCTCACACAATGGTTCCAATCGTAATATCTCAGCTAGCCACGGGTCTGAGTGTCTTGGCCGGCGCGGTTCTGGTGAAGTCGGTCATGGACCAGAAGCCGATGCTCGGGTCTGGCCCGTTCCCCCGGTGCCCAACCTGCAACGGAACCGGCCGGGTTTCGTGTCTTTGCTCCCGGTGGTCCGACGGGGATGTTGGGTGCCGGACCTGTGCCGGGTCGGGTCGCATGGGCTGCAGTAGCTGCGGAGGTTCCGGTACCAGTCGCCCAATTCCGGTTCAGATCTCCGTTCGTCCGCCCAACAGATCGCCTTAGAAAATGCCCGGTTAGGCATATTCTTAGTACTTACTCTCCTAATTTATATACTATTTTTTTTTTTTTTTAAATTGAAATTGTGGAACCATTTTATGTAATGTAGAGTTGGTGATACTCTATAGTTAGCTATACTTGGGAATTGGAAAATCGCTAATATTACGTTGTAATTACATATGATTTCATAGGATGAGTTGATGAGATGGCTTTACCTTCAAAGTTCATAGCTTTTTGATTGTTCTTCTGATTGCCTGATTAGTGGACAACAGTTTATAGTTTCTTTCTTTCACGAGAGAGTGTGCACTGGGTAAATCTCGTCTTGTGACCACTCTAGCCTAGTCGTCAAAGACCACAAGGAGATATAGCAGCTTAGCCTGTCTAGCCGGTCCAAACCAAGAAAGCCAATAGGTCACTTCCGCTGAGAATCAGACTTGTAATCTTGTGGTTATAAAGTCAACAGTCTGGTTGGGATTCCCCATTACAGTTCATAGTTGATTTGACTATTTGAGTGATTGTTTAAATAAGTAGCTTGACTAAATGATGTGAGTGCTTTACTGCTTAGGGAGTTAGGGTGGCTTGTAGAGTTAGACGAGACTGAATCGTGGAAGAAATGCCTTTGAGAATGGCTTGTGGGCAATGGCTTATAAGTTTTTTTCAAATCTTAAGTTGCTTATGTCCAATGAATCATCTTAACGTTTGCTGCTTGTGCTGCTTATTTGATATTCACTTCTCATCATTACGTTTTGTGTGACAGATGAATTAAGTTTTAAATTCATTTTCATAAATAACACGACATAAAATTGCTGAAAGAGATTAGCTTTGCATGTGAAAAAGCATCAATAATGAATTTGTAATATTGTCTGTCTTCATTTAGCAGATGGCTCATCGAATTAGATTAGTTTGAAGAAATGCCTTTGGTAATGAATTACCATTTTTTAACTCATTAAGACTGTAAGCTGCGTAATACATCAGAACCTTAGCTAAGCAATAGAAAAAGGTGTAAAATGTATGCACGATATTAAATGCATTTCTTCAAATTGGTCTAATTTTAAAAAGCTATGAATGAGGTTTCGGTCAATCTTTAGGGTTATCCTGTCTTCCAAACATGCTACGGAGGGAATACAAATGATGAAGCTAAATCTCAAACAAAGAAACACGTACAGATGAACTAGTGCAGCATATATTGGCCCTATTTTGGTAAAATAGTTAGCCTATCAGCCAATTTTGGCTTGTTTGACCGCTATTAGCTGTTTGACTTGGTTAAACAATCAATATGAGTGTTTGATTAATTAGTTTTTTTAACAACTTATTGCTTCAAAATGCTAAAATTCAAAACGCTACTCAAAGTAGCTTTTCCGATCAGCTTTTTGAGAAAGTCATTTTGTAGCAATCAGCTAACAACTAACAACTAATTTACCAAACACTTTTCTATAGTCAAACTCATTAACCCAATTAGCCAATAGCCATTTACCAAACACCCCCATTACCTAACTTGGATTTGGATTGTTAAGCAAGCCAAGAATCACAGAACTTACTGTAAATGTTCTAGATAGTATAGACTTTTCTATGACCTTAAGATTTGATTAAATAAAGGAACTTCAAACAGGTCAGGATGGTTTATTTATTTCCATCATTTTTCAAAAAGACCAACCTTTTAAAATTACATTATAGCCCAAATGTATGCACGAGAGTTGTGCATCATGCTACCTTTAATTTTCAAGATGATTGTATCAAAAGCTTGAATTTTCATGATCTAATGGCAGACATTTGAGCAGTGAGCACTTTGCTGCTATTATAAATCTTAACCTTCTCAACATAGGATCTAGAATGATAACTTAAGTTCTTAACACTCTGACACCTAAACAAACCCAAAGGACAACCATTTATCAAGTCCAATCATACTCAGATAAAGCATTTAACTTCATTTCCAAAGTAACTTATTTTTAATTTATCTATCATGAAAAAAATCTCATGTCCTAAAGAGAACATCTCTGTAACCCAATTATTTGATGAAGCCTTTTCGAGCACAAACATTTGGAAGAACCATAAGTCCATAACCTAATTAGACGCTATTTCTTTGCAAGTTCTTACTCAACCAATTTTCCAATTCTTGGCTAGTAATTCGTGGAGGATAGGCTATAGGCCTGTACAACCAAAGGATGTCTTGACATAACATGATTCGTTGGCAAGTGGCTATTAGAGATATGAAAGGCTAAGATCCATTAGGTTTTCCACGAATCATATCTAGCTTTGGAACGACATGCTTTGCTGTATTTTTATTTTTAGTGGTCCTAGTCGTAGTGGTTGGTTGATGGTGCTCTCTGTTAACTTTTCTAATTTCTAGCTGTAGTTAGTTTATAATGTGGATAGCTGTTAGCTGTATTTAGGCTAACCGCTGATAGCTGATTGTGTTAATTAGAGGGTATAAATAGTTGATAACATTAGCTGATTGTAGAAAAGTGTTTGGTAAATTAGCTGTTAGTTGATAACTGTTTGGTATAATTTCTTTCCTCAAAAAGCTAATTGAAAAAGTTGCTTGGAGTAGCTTTTTGAATTTTAGCCTTTTGGAGTTGCAAAAAGCTAATTAACCAAACATTTATATTGATATTTCAACTAAATCAAACAATTAATAATGGTCAAATAGGCCAAACTTGGCCTATAGGCCAATTTTTTACCAAACAGGGCCAATGTGATTCGAGTGCAATGGTTTGACATGAAAAATGAAACCTAGCGTTGTAATTCCATATGTTGCTGATGGTGGAAAAGCACGTAAAATTGCTAGGAATTTAGAAGCTCACAGGTGTTTATATCGTCTAACCTAATCTGGCTTTTATCATTTCAAATCTGTTAACTTCTTTTGCTTCTTTTCATAGGGCAGATATTATTCAGTATATTAATTGATCTTGAAATAGTTGAAATTAGTTAGATCGAGATCCTTTGCTATTATTCCAATTTCCAATTAATATATCTATGGGAAATTTAAATTAGGGCCTGGATTATTAGGTTCCGAAGTTGCGAGAGCTTAAAGTATTTGTACACACTGCATAATCTTTTCTACATCAGACAAAGACTGAAGGAACATGATTGTATTCATACAACATATGATCGGACAAATAATTGTCAAATTCTTGCTCTAAGACGTTCTTCAGCAGCTCGATACTTTTCTTCTCACTTGGGAGTGAAAGCCTGAAAGATAATTAGAACAATATATTAGTGGTGTCAATTTTATCAGAATGGTAACATTAGATACACATACATTGCTATGCTCACGAATATCTGCTTCTATGACTGTAATTAAGTAGTTTTCATTTTGAGTGCACGAGTGATTTATGATTTATGTTATTATGTATCGTAAGCAAGGTTGAAAAAATCGCTAGGCGCCTAGGGACCGCCTAGGCGGGCGCCTAGAGCGATTAATCGGCGCCTAGGCCCGATTTTTGCAACACTGAATTCGTAAGTTATTGACTTATTTACGCTAGCTAACACGAGAAGAAAATGTCAGGTATAATTGCAGGTGGATCGAGTTTGAGAGTGGTGGGCTTACAGCAAAAACAGTGGCGTGACCGGGATCAGCCAGGTGAGCAAAGAGGTTGTCGATTGGTCCTGTTCCGGTGTAGATGTGTTGGAACCATGCGCCCATAACTGCCAGCATGGCTAATCTTCCGTTCTTGATCTCCTTGGTTCTCAACTCCTTGATCTTTTCGGGAGAACCAGATCCCCAACCGAGTGGGTCGAACCATAAGCCACCTGGATAGCCTACGTCAGTCCCGGTGAGCTTGTTGTTGGGGAAGATGGGGTCCGTGTTCACGCATCCAGGCTTGATGATGTCTGCCCACCGCCTTCCCTCAGCCCAGCCGATGAGTATCAACTCGATGACAAAGAGCGTGGTTGTATCGGTGAAGTACTCTTGTTCGCCCGCAGTGTACCACGAAGGCGTGTTCAGAATCCCGATCTTCGTGAGGAACTCCGGGATGAAAATACCCGCAGCCCCCAACATCGCCCATCTGCAGTGCACAATCTCCGCCTGCTGGTTCCATTTCAAGCTCTCGGGATCAGATGCTGTCAATTCAATGATCGAGGATCATCATTTTATTCGGAGCCCAGCCCAGCCCAGATTAATTTCAGAAACAAACCGAAATTTGACTTACCAAGACCAAGGGGATCAAAACCAAAGTCTCCAGGGAGGCTGCAGGCATAGTGGATCGAGCTCAAGTTTAGATCGAAACAAATATATATAATATATCACGTTTCATATAAATTTGCTCATCACTAACCTGCCATCGAGCCATGGAGGAGGGGTGCTGCCCGGGAACCAGAGGGGTCGGTTGGGCTCAGCCGTAGCACAAACCGTAAAAGATCGCGACGTGGCAGGGGCCGAGTACTTGCTCACCCTCAGTTTTCTCCCCGAGAGGAAAGACGCCTTTGTCTGCGAACTGCACAGGTAAAAAAATCAAACCAACTTTCATCAGTACAGTAGTAACACTACTGGAAATTATGGAATTTCTGACCACCTGAAAGTGATCTTAAATCAAGTTGAAAGTAAAAACTGGTCGGAAATAGCAACAAAGGTTTTTCCGGATACCAAAAGTGATCGGAACAAGACTTTCGACTTGATTTAAGATCACTTTCAGGTGGTCGGAAATTTCATAATTTCCAGTAGTGTAAAAAACACTACAAAACTACGATCATTCACACAAACAAATCACAAAGATTATTGCTTTCATGCTATATATAGACGATCGGCCTTGCCTCGGGGACGAGAATGCAGCGGCCGCAATGGTGGACGAAGCAGCACAGGCAGACACCATGTCGACAGATTTCGAGCTGTACAATGCAGGGTGGGTGTGATTGCTGTGTGGGGAAAGAAGTGAGAAAGGCTTAAGCTTAAACACTGAGAAGATGATATTGAAGAGAAGGGGCTTATCCTGATGGATAGGGAGGTGAATATGTGATTGGGTTTTTGAATTGCCATGTGGCATGCACAATCTATTATGTACCCAAGTAATCTCAATCTTGTGGCTCATATTCAAGACTTGCTATATATGCCTGATATGCTTCAATTGTCTCTTTCTGCACTAGCCACTCAGCATCTTTGTATATTATTTATTTCAAAATCTGGATTTGCAGTAAATCTTTAAATTGAATTACAAAGAAAGAGACAGATTTAGTCCTTAAATTGTATGGATGTAAACGTAAATGTAAACATAAATGTAGTAAATGTAAACTTAAATGCAGCAAATCTCCGGTTGTCAATGGAAGATGGCCTGAGGGACTAAATCGACTAAAAATAATTATTTTCGGGGATGAATAAGCAATTGAGGGATTACATTGACAGTTCGCTAATAATTGAGGGACCAAATCGTTTATTAACTCTATTAAAAATAAACGTTTATGAATGGTACACAATATAATTTGCCAACTTAGAATCTCCCCCTACTTAGCATTTGGTTGAAACTCGAGTTGGGAGGATATTATGTGCATTAAAAAAAATCGTAATAATTCTTATTTTCTGGCAGATTATATTTAACTGCAGAAAAGGCATGGGCTAAAAAATATTGTTTCTCATATTTGACCCTCATGATCTGTAAAGAAGAGCCCATCTATGGCCCTTAACAAGAGTCACCTTGCAAGGCCCAATTGAATTCGGCCACTCTCGGGCAAATTACCGTGCATCAGGGTGCACAATGCAATGTGCGTCCTGACCCAAAACGACATAATTTTGTACCTTTTTGCGTGTCTACTGCTAATTCCTTAAAAAAAAAATTCATATTTCGAATGTACACAATTTTATACCTGAAAACATAGAATTTTATACCTGAAAACACAGAATTTTATACCTAAAAACACATAATTTTATAACTGAAAATTCTCATGTTTCGAATGTACAGAATTACACAATAGAATGCACAAAATTTTATATCTGAAAATACAGAACTTACCAAAACGACGTCATTTTGGGAGGTGCGGGGCGCACATTGCTATGTGCGCCCTGGTGCACGGTATAACGATTGCCACTCTCGACAATTTTGCACCAAAATTAACACAAGGCTTAGGAAAAAGAAAAAGAAAAAAAAAATGGTTACCATATGTAATTCGATTTCTTTTTTAGTATTTAATAATCACATTAAATTTTATGGTATAAAATAGATGCCATATTCAATTTGCAAAGAGCTCTCGCATCATGTGAATTGTAACTTATTGACTGTGAAGATAAATCACCAAAAAAAAATAATAAATCAAAATGACCAAATCTGCCCCACTCCCCTTGGACTTAAACGATATAGTCATAGTTTTGATCTTATCATCACAATAATCTCATATAGATATTAGCTCAATTAATCATTTGGTCATCTCTTTGATGAATTGCTAGCTAGCTAGCTACATTCCAAAGCTTTTGAATCTTCCACTAAACAACATTCCTCCCTCTTATCTCTCTCCATTCTACATACATGTATTATTGCAAATTAAATCATTGTTGTGTTCATCAAATTGTTGAATTTATCCACCATTATCTAAATTCTGTCGAAGTCGTTGGTTGTATGATAGAATACTTACAATTAGTCTAATAATTCATTTAGCCCAATCTAAACATATTGTTAGACCAAATAACCAAAGGTGTACTAATAGAATAAAGAGTTCTACTACATATACTCCCTAATCTTACTCTCTGATGTGACAGATTCTGATAAATTATTTTTTCATGTGGATCCCAATATAAGTGCCTATATCAAAGTTAGTATATGGGACTATAAGTTGAAAATACATATAGCATTTTCCTAGAATAAAACCCAACAATCAAACTCTTGCCTTAAAATGAGAGCCAAGCTAAGCAAGCCATTTGTCTTCCCTTTGGCATAGAGAAACCAAAAAGATCTTGTGAATGACAAGCACCTAATACTAAATGTCATTATTAAACATCTTACTCACAAAAGGCAAAATTTTCTCGCCCTCAGACCCTCACACCTTAAATGACACAATGTAACGTACTCTTCCTGCACTAAATCTTAATGTATATGGCTCGGGTGAAAACCTGAACTGAACTACTGCATGTGTGCACACAATCTACTACATGAATACACCCAATCTACTCTCAGGCATGCTTGAATGACGGTGAAGACCCTGCAGAAGTAATTGTGTGTGCGACATTCGTGTTGTAGATTGTGTGTATTCATGCAGTTCTCACATTATATTATCACTTAAGACATTATTCTCATATGATCATTAATCATATATATATATATGTTTGTGGGATCCTCCGAGGTTGCCAGGCCACCTGATAGTTGCGGGGCTCGGAAGCGAGACAGCAAATTAAAGGCGCAGATAGAGTTTGATTAGAAAAGAAGAGCAGCGATGTGGTGCAATGATGAAAGAGGTTGAAGACTAATGAGAATCCAAGAAATATTGCAAAGACTGATATGATGAATGCAGCCAATGATTATTAGGTCCAGCGATCCATCAAAACAATGGACCCAACTTTGATCAACATAATAATAATAATGTTGTTTATCTGCTACTTGTGTTTATCTTGCCACCACTTTCAATTATTAATTTCCTTTCATTTTTCCCCATTCCTTTCCATTGCATATATACGTACATGTATCAGATCGATCAGTGGAAAATATATTGCCTGGGATGGCCAGCTGCCTGCCCAGAAGTCCAGTTGTATTGCCTGCACGGATTTAGTTCAATGGTTCACTAGGTTGTATTTGGGAGAAAGGATCAATGTTCTAATCTCGGCGACGACAGTCTGAGAATTATGCTCAAAGTGAGCAGATCTCTTATATGCGCACTAATATTTGGTCATGTCCACTGAGTCATTGAGTCACCGTGATTTACATCCACTCAAATGTTCAGATCTGTTGGGCCAGAGTGTGGCGACCCTTTGGGGTTTAAATGGGAGAAGAAGTACAATTGTGTTGTGTTGTGAATGTATGAATGATAATGTTAATAATAATAATGAATATAATTGTGGCTACATAAGGGTCCAAGTGGCTGTGTTACATGAATTATGACCATCTCTTAATTTCTTTCACAATTTTATTTGAGTGTCTTGCAAGTTATATACGTTGAAAAGTAATTTTTGTTATTTAATTAGTATTTGGTATAATAATAGATAATAAGATTGAGAAACTTTACAGGGATGATCTATAAGCACTGGTATTTTTTTTTTGTTTTTTGTTTTTTGTTTTTTGTTTTGTTTTGTTTTGATTTTTTGTTTTTGTTTTTGTTTTTTTTTTTTTTTTTTTGTACTTGACATTACTAATATACAGAGTAATTGTACTGATTAATACAATTAGAAACCATCACCAATAATACTAAGTACAATCATGTACTGTTACATGATGGTACTGCATTGATGGGTATATACAGAGCCAACATACGAATCGTACAAGGAATTGATGAGTCGATCGATCTCTTCGATCTAAGAGTTGCCCAATTTAAGTGATCGGGATACCGACTTCCGGGGTTGGTAGACACACAAATATTGAATGCACATACTATTAGAGAATAATATAATATTCTTGAACTTAGTCTAGTATTGTTTCCTAGCTTTGTATAATTGTTCCTATAATTACTCTATGCCTAGTTACGTTGTTTCCTACTTCTGTGATATAATTATGTATATATATACATGTTCCCTATTAATGAAATATACAAGCTATTGTAGGGTTGGGGTTCAACCTTTTAGAAGAAAGAAATATACAAGTTATTTGTATCTCATAACCTTCTACGACATGATCCGTCATCTTAGCAGGAATTCCTTTAAAATAAGAAATCTACGGCTTTTAAGATTTTCAATACCCTTAACACACACATTCATATTATTTAGAGACATAAAATAGTACATCCGTATACATGTTGAATAACTGTATGACAAAACCATATGATATTATAACATTTTATGTCAAAAAAATTCTTCAATCAACTTGATTGAGGTGTGAATTGAATGGGGATTTAGTTTACTATCTTTTCCTATGTTCTCAAAACCATATGATATTATAACATTTTATGTCAAAAAAATTCTTCAATCAACTTGATTGAGGTGTGAATTGAATGGGGATTTAGTTTACTATCTTTTCCTATGTTCTCATCACATAATGAGCTGTGTTATATATGATATATTGATATAACAATTATTGAGTGTAAACACAAATTCATATTAGTTAGAAACATAAAATAGTTGTTATATGTATAGAAAAATTGTATGACATATGTTCTGTTTGACATATATAGCTGAAAAGTTAGTAGCTAATAAGTTAATTGAATGGAATTAAATTGTTTGGTACAATCAGTTGTTGAATAAGTTAATAAATATAAAAAGACATAAAATAAATTGAGATATTATATTTTAATTTATTTATTAATGAAGAGTATATGATGCATTTTTGTAAATTAAAAAAAAAAAAAAAAAACCAATAGGGCTTATTTTGAAATGGTATTTGAGATAGCATTTTTACCATTTCATAATAAACTATTATTTCAAACTCTTCATATTTTAACAAATAGAGTTTATAGTTTTTTGAATGCTACTGGCTCTATTAATAGTGTTTATAGTTTATTTGTAACTTCAAATAAATTATAAATTATAAAATAAATTCTACCAAACAGAGCAAAAAAAAAAAAAAAAAACCCATATTATAACTTTAGTTTTTTTTTTTTGTTTTTTTTTTTGTTTTTTTTTTTTTTGTCACAAAATTTCTTCAATTCTTCAACAACTTGACTGAGGTGTGAATGGAGATTTTGTACTATATTTTCCTATGTTCTCATCATTTTCTTTTTCTTTTTCCAGCACCCCATTTTAGAGAACCATTCAAACACATTACAATTAAGACTCGTGAAGATCGAGAAACATATGGTGTCCACATGATTATTATGGTACTACGTACGACCCTAATTAATCCACTTGCATTGTACTACGTAATCAATGCTAATTATGATTATACGATAGCGAGGGGCTTATTCAGTCTTATTTTTCCCTATAAATAAACGAC